ATGTCGATATTACATTTCCACTCTATGCGATCGATTTCAGTGTCTTTTGCTGGCTTGAAAAAGGACTCTGATATTCTACGTACTTCAAAAAAAAAAACATTTCGCAAGTTCTTTCTCAACTGCTACAGAAATAAAAAGATACCGTAAACTGCGCGATGCAAAAACGAATTGAAAGCAGCGACAAGAAGAGAAGAATAAGCATTTCGTTTGCTTTCCTGCAGTGTCAGTTCAATTAGGTCTAAGTATCGTATTAGACGGAAAAAACGCTGTTAAAAACGTCAATTTTACGGAAAGAGCGATATTATTCTGTAATTATGGGTATCAATCGAAAGCATACGACTACTGCGCAATATTCAAATTGACTGTCCAGACGGCCATGGAAAAGAACATTTCCCAACCAGCAGTGCGCAGAATTTTTTTTAAAATCATATTGAGAAATCCTCTAGGCGCAGTGATTGGTTCGTTTTGGTAACAACCGTCCGACGTTACGATTCGGTGGAATACTGATACAGGCTACCACCCACACGACTGAGGAAGTTGCATGCTAACCTGTTCATGATAATTTGAAAAAGAGAAAAAAGACGTCACTTATAGAGATGTTCTTTATATAACAGTATCATAGTAAAATGATGAGCAGAGGAGGGATTTTGGTACCGATCTTTGAACGAATATAAAACGATAGGTTCTACAGTTACGCATGAAAAAGTCATGGTGCTTTTTCATAAGCATAATCAGGATTATATAACCCATAATTTTCATATGGGAAATGAAAATGCATTTTTCATGAGTTTTCAGACAAGCGTAATCGTTAATATAGTGCGATAAGCCTGCATGACTGTGCTGACAAATTTTTGAAAAAACTGAGAAAATGCAGAGGCGTATTTGATTTTGCAGAGTTCTGCTATATCTCGTGCGAGAATCGTTACTAGGACATCGTAGATCATGGATTTTAAAGAAAATACTAGGACGTAAGTTACTATTTGCCAACGGTATTTGTGCGTCTCGCGGCGCTCTGTGATAATCACGATCTTTCAACAGTGATGCCTGTGCAGGTGTAACAGAAAGCTCTTCGCGCCGGGCATTTATGAAATATGCGTTTCGTGATATTTTATTTAACGGATGCTTGCTGTTAAGTACGTTCATTGCTTCACAGTCTGATATTTATGTATGCATGTTTCTGTTTGTTTGCGCATTATATGAGTGTTTGAGTGTGTGTGTTTTTGTGCAAGAGTGTGTGTGGGTATATGCGAGGGTGTGCGTGTTCGTTGTATGAGTATGTGTGTGTGTGTTTCTGTAAACACGGTGAATGAACTTTCCCACTCAGTTTCAGCTCTGGAGTTAATGGAGCTGCGAAGCTGAATGTATGAGAGCATGACCAGATCCATGTGTATTAAATTTAAAATCTGAAATCGGCCTTAATGAACACCTAGGTCTCGCGTGCGGACTCTTGAAACGCACTGCCAAACTGTTTTGGTGGGAAAGCGAACCAAACAAAATAGATAGCTGAAATTTCACAAAATTGTCCATGCATGAAACAAAGATTTTAAATTCATTTATCACGCACGTTTGCGTCACACTTACGGAAAAGATCATCGTCAATTATTAGCACCGTTCAAGAGCTAATGGAAAACGACAGCTTCCTTTTGCTGGCACACACAGGTCCTTACATAAAAATGTTTTTTACCACCGATGTGTTGAAGAGGAGAGCCTCATCATCAAATGGTCCTTTGTTTTGGCTCACCTCGTCTTCCTTCTTTTTTGCCGTGCCATTTTTTTGACGGCGTCTCAATTTGATTTGGTATCGACGCGATTAACCACCTATCGATCAGTGGAGGCGCGGGTGGTGCATCGCGGTTGGGATGACAGCTGATCCGTGGCATGGCTTCCTGGGCGCGATTTTTCAAAGCCACTCTCAACTGACAGGAGTTTTAGGGCGGCAACAATTAGACTGCCCCTTCCTCCCCCCTTCCTCCTGCCCCTTCTTGACAAAGTTGCTGTTTTGCTTATCTGAAGGCAATTTTGTCTTTTTGACATGTACGAACAGTTTGTAGAGGGAGTTGGTTAACGTTAATTCCAAACCTTCATCACGGAAGTAGTGCTAGTTGTCTGCTCACTATGCCGATCTGGTAAAATAGCACCTGTACACAGATTTGACAAAGTTTTTAGCTTATAGTTGTTTCTCAAAACGCAATCAGCAGTCGAACCAAATCATTTCACTTCTCGTCAGTGTAATGGAAGTTAGCGTAGAATTTCCAAGAAAACATAA